AGACAGCTGGGGCTACAGGGAGACCCTGTTTCAAAAAGACAAAAAAAAATTTTTCTTCATTATTATTTATTATTTTATGTGCACAAGTGTATTGCCTGCATGTATGTAAGTGTGCCCATGTCATGCAATGCCCACAGAGGTCAGAAGAGGGTCTCAGATCCCCTAGAATTGGAGTTGTGAATGGTTGTTAGCTACCATGTGAGTTCCGGGATTCGAATCCCAGTCCTCTGAAAGAGCAGGCAGTGGTCCTAACTGCTGAGCCACCTCTACAGCCCCAATGTCGTTTCTTTTTAAATTTTATTTTTAAAATCATGGGTGTCTGAGTGTGGTTTTATGCACTAGTGCAGGGGTCTGAGTAGGCCAAGGGCATCCAATACGGCTGGAGCTAGAGTTACAGGTGGTTGTGAGTTGCCTGATGTGGGTGCTGGGAACTGAACTGGGGTCTTCCTTAAGAGCAGTGTGCACTCTTTAACTACTAAACCTTGGTGCAGTTTTGACACATTTCTCTGATGGTAGTAAGGCTGAACAATCTATCATGTTTACTAGCCATTCTTACTTCATCCTTTCAGAACTGTTTGGTCATTACCAAGTTCACTGATTAAGTTAGCTGGGCTTTTTATCCAACCTATTTATTGTCATGCCCTGCTACTACATGCCAAGCCCTATACTTGGTACCTGACTTACTTTACTGAACAGAAAGATCTCTGACCTCCCTCAGCTGCCCTTCACTGCATCTCCTGTGGTGAACAGAGTGACATAGAACTGGAGATTCAAAATGGGAAACTTTAGAAAGTAAAATGGGTTGCTGTTAATAATTAAGCTGGACCACAGGCATAAAATGGCTCGCTCCCAGGCATATCAGGACTTACTGACCCACTTTCAAAAAATGTAAATATGAGTCTAGAGAGACGGCTCCTTGGTTAAGAGCACGCACTGTACTTCTCTTGCAGAGGTTCTGAGTTTGTTTCCCAGCACATGATTTGAGTGTTTCCCAACTGCCTATACTCCAGCTCCAGGGGATCCTATGCTTCTGACTTCCGCAGGCACTCATGTGCACATACCACACACACACACACACACACACACACACACACACACACAATCAAAAAGTAAAGTAGGTTGGGAAACACTCGGAAGGCAGAGGCAAGCGGATCTCTGTGAGTTCCAGGCCAGGAAGGGTGCATAGTTGAGACCATGTCTAAATAAAATAAAAATTTTACAAAATGTAAACATAGAGGTGGAAATGTAGCTCAAGATGGCATGCTTGCTTAGCACGTTCTAGGTCCAATCCCCAGCACTGGAAAAAAAAAAATGACAAAAAGTAAAAGCCGGGAATATGCCAGTACATATTTTGTCTTGGCAAATCTATACTTGGTATTTGTACATTATATATTGTATGTAAATTTCACTTAAAAATCAGACTATGTCAGCTATGCTTTGTGGCACGCCTGTAATCCCAGCCCTTACGAGGCAGAGGCTGGAGGATCTGAAGTTCAAGGTCAACCCTGGTGTTGTATGACACTATTACTGGGGATATCTGAACAATTACTCATCCCAGGGAATCAACAACAGACCAAAGTAAGGATAATACAAAGTCCAATGTGGTGAACCAGTAAGTTTTATTGGGGTTACTTCATAGGAATATGGGTGAGGAGTTACTTACTAGAGCATACATGACTTAAAGACAGCTGCATCACCAAAAACTGGCCCTGGAATAAATAATCACTTGCAAAAACTGGACATGTGGAAGGCAGTGCGCGAGCTGCAGGGATCAGGCGCTCAGCCCATCTGGAAGTCTCTCAGCAGTCCTTAGGTCTTATATATGTTTGGGGAGGGCGGGGCCTAGTGTGTCGAATCAGTTTCAGAAACTTCCTTGAAGCCTTCCAGCAGCCTTCTAGTTGCTTCCTTCCTGAGCACGTTGGAATGTTTCACTTCCCTTTAGAAGATCCTGTTTCGAAACAAGTTTTTCTCCAAGATGGAAGGTTTTATCTCAGAGGAAATTGCAACAGAAGACGAGGAGGCCAGACTGGCTACAAAAGACCCTCTCTCAAACAAACAAAACACTACAGAGGGATGGAGATGTAGCTCAGTGGCAGAGTACCTGCTTAGCATGCATGATACCAGTGTGGTGACCCACATCTGTAATCCCACTACTCAGAGACTGAGGCAGCAGAATCATAAGTTTGAAGCCAGCCAGAACTATACAGTGAATTCCAGGCCAGCCTCTGGAGCCAGTGAGACCGTCTCAAAAACTAAAGCCAAAATCGAATTCTAAACCCTCAAACTGTATGTTGGGGAGGTAGCTCTGTGGTACAGCACCTACCTGGCATGCATAGGACAATGTGACTCCATCTCTAACAACAGAGAGAGAGAGACAGAGAGAGACAGAGAGAGAGAAACAAGAGGAGGACTTTTCCAAAATGTGGTTTCATATATTGATTGCTACTTTATTTGGGCCCTTTCATATTTTTGTGTATGTTATATGTGAACGTTTGTGTGTGTGCATATGTGCACATGTACATCTATGCATGTGAAAGCTAAAGGCTGATGGTAGTGTCTTCCTCAGTTGCTCTCCACCCTATTTTTTGAGACAGGGTCTCCCTGAATCAGAGCACATGAATTAGGTTAGACTGGCAGGCCAGCGAATCCTAGCGACCCTCTGTCTCTACCTCTCCAGTATTGGGTACTGCCACCCCAGCTTTTTACATGGGATGTGGGGATCCAGGCTCTGCTCCTCATCCTCACATGCACAGCAAACATTTGAGCAACTGGGTCTCTCCCCAGGACCCCCGTATTTTATTTTATTGAGAGAGGGTCTTCTGTAATGTGTGTTGACATGAAGCTGGCTATGTAGTCAAGGATGACCTTGAACTTCTGATCCTCTTGCTTCCACTTTCTGAATGCTGGGATTATGGCATGTGCCATCACACCTAATTTATTCAGTGCTAGGATGTAACCCAGGGCTTTGTACATATTAGGCAAGCACTCTCTCAACAGAGCCCCATTCCCAGCACCCCCGTTATGGTGTGACTATGCATTTCCACCCCCACGGTTCATGTTGTAACAGGCACTTAGGAACTGCTGCTGTATACAGGGCAGGCCAGATGGTTCAGGGGCTCAAGTCACTTATCATCAAGCCTGATGACTGGAGTTCCTGAGTCTGTTCCCTGTAACGCACATAGTAGGCGAGAAATGAGTCCTGCAAGTTGTCCTCTGACTTCCACATGTATACCCTGGCACATGTGTGCCTCCCTCCCATAGTAAATGTAATTTTAAAACTTAAATTTAAAAAAACATTGATTCCTCACCTAGGCCCATAAGGTAAGTAAAAACAATGAACCCTGGCCCCTGCCTTGGTTTTCTCTGTCTCCTTCACTTTGGGTCAGATTCCTGCCTGACTCTGTGTCAATGACTCAAGGAGTGTATCCCTGCCTCACGTTTCCAGTTCCCCTCAGAGGCTGAAAGCTGTTAACAGACACATTAGTCATGTTCTCAACCTTCTGGAGGCAAAAGGGCGCTCTGACATAATGGGAGTAAGAGACAGCTTTTTCTGGAGCCGGACATGAGTGACCAATGACCCGGCAACATGGATGGATTCAGGTTATCTTGAATATCATGTTCCAGTGTGTGAACATTTTAATGAAATTTTATAGCTACAAAAGAAAGTCATAAATCAAGGTACTTTTCAAATAAAATCGTGGGAACATCAGGTAGACATGCTACGCAAAAGTGGGGCAATCTCTGCTATAGGGTTTTGATGGTATTTGATACATTTTTAGCTTTAGGGTCTGTAGAAGCTAGTGACCTGTTAATAAACCCCAAAAGTTTTCCTACAATAGTCACAAGGACGTTAGGTCAGACACAGAGGAGGAAATGAGTGGCTTTTTAAAAAGATTTATTTGGGGTGCTGGAGAGATGGCTCAGTGGAGCACTGGCTGATCTTGCAGAGGACCTCAGTTCAGTTCTCAGCACCTACATGGCAACTAACTACGTGGTAACTCCAGTTCCACGGGATCTGACGCCCTCTTCTGACTGTGGACTTACATACCTGCAGGCAAGAAATAAACATAAAAAAAGTAAATTTTTTTTTACTTGTGCATGTGTGTACACACATGTGCAAATGTGCAAATGCAAGCACATAGATACCCACAGGAGTCAGAAGGGAGCATTGAAGCCCTTGGAGCTAGAGTTATAGGTGTTTGTGAACCACCCAGTGTGTGTGCTAGAATTCAAACTGGTCCTCTGATAGAGTAGTACTTTTTAAAAAAATATTTTATTATTTTTATTTTATGTGTATGCGTGTATTGTCTACATGTAGGTAAGTGCACCTCTGCAGTGCAATGCCCATGGAGGACAGAAGAGGCTGTTGGATCCCCTGGAACTGGAGTTACAGACAGTTGTTAGCTGCCATGTGGGTGCTGGGATTCGAACCCAGGTCTTCTGCAAGAAAAGCCAGCGTTCTTAATCGCTGAGCCGTCTCCCTAGCCCCATAAGTGCTTTTAACTGCTGAGCCATCTCCAGCCCTGAGAAGCTTTAAAAATTATTTATTTATGTATTTATGTGTGTGTGTGTGTGTGTGTGTTGTGTGGACACACATGCCATGGTTCCAGTGTGATAATCTGAGTGTCCTCAGATGGTGGGAGTCAGTTCTTTCCTTCTATCATGCAGGTCCTGGAGATCAAACTCAGGCAGTTAGGCTCACCAGAAAGTGCATTTATCTCATGAGTCACCTTGCCTGCCCATAAATAGTTGTAAAGAAGGCTAAAGAAGGACTGGCAACATGGCTCAGTGGTTAAGTGCACTTAAGAGAACCTAAGTTTGGTTCCCAGCATACACATGGTGGTTCACAACTGTCTGCAACTCCAGTTTTAGGGGTTCCAACACCCTCCTATGTCCTCTGAGGGCATTGCACACACATGGTGCACGTACATACATGCAGGCAAAACACTCATACACATATTTTTTTTTTAACCAAGAGAAGCTGGACATGGTAGACCATGCCTTTAATCCCACTCTGGAGGCAGAGGTAGGCAGATCTCTGTGGGACTGAAGCCAGCCAGGGATACAGGGAGACCCTGTCTCAAAAACAAACAAAACAAAAAAAACCAAGAGAGCTAGACACATAGTTTGGGGGCTGGAGAGATGGCTCAGCAGTTAGGAACACTGGCTATTCTTGCAGAAGACCTGGGTTTGAATCCCAGCACCCACACGGCAGCTAACAACTGTCCATAACTCCAGTTCCAGGGGATCAGCCAGCCTCTTCTGAGCTCCTCGGGCATTGCATGACACAGGTGCACTTACACACATGCAGGCAATACAGGAACATACATAAAATAAAAATAACTTTTTAAAGGACACATAGGGGCTGGAGAGATGGCTCAGTGGTTAAGAGCACTGACTGCTCTTGCAGAGGACCGGGTTCGATTCCCAGCACCCACATGGTGACTACAAACCATCCTTAACTCCAGTTCCAGGGGACTCTGATGCCCTCTTCTGACCTCCGCAGCAGTGCACATGTATGTATACTCACATACATGAAGGCAATACACTCATACACATAAAATAAAAATAAGAAATAAATATTTTTTAAAAGACATAATTTGGCTTTGGACCTGCTAACATTTCACCTGACTAATCAATCAGACTTGTAGAAGTTGTATCACAGGTGTCTTTTTTCTGAGAACTTCCATTCACCACCAGCAGTTACCTGGAATTCCAGGTCGATTAGAGCCTCACAGAACAGACAATCCCCAAGTGAGAGCAGTTATCTATGTTAGAGAGGTTGTACTCCGGGGCAGGGGCAGATCACTGTGAAGGAACTACATGGTCCCCTGGGGTGGCTGGTGATGACACTGTAGATCAACAGATGGACATTTTATCGGCCACCTCAAGGAAAAAAGTTGAGATAATGATGGACAAGACCAGTCTAGAGGACTCTGCTCAGTTATGCACACCTCTTGCTCTTGCCCTAATTCTCCCTCTATTTAAATCCAAAAGTTCCAGACTGGCAAGATGGCTCAGCAGTTAAGAGCACCTGCTATTCTTCCAGAGAACCCAGGTTCAGTTCTCAGCACCCACAAGATGACTAACAAGCATCTGTAACTCCAGTTACAGGGGCTCTGATGCCCTCTTCTGATTTCTGAGGGCACTGTGTGCATGTAATGCACTTACATACATGCAGGCAAAACAGTCATACACATAAAGTAAAATTAATAAGTATTAAAAATAAACAAATGTAAACATTCCTATTAGTACCCCAAAGACGAGCCTTTAGTCACTGGACCCGTTTCTCTGCTCCTCTTCCCAAAGTGCACTCTCTGCTTTTCGCCATCATTTACCTCTTTTTTATTATTTTTTTCATATTTTATTATTTTTATTTTATGTGTGTATTGCCTGCGTGTAGGTAAGTGCACCTGTGTCATGCAATGCCTGCAGAGGTCAGAAGAGGCTGTCAGATCCCCTGGAACTGGAGTTACAGACAGTTATTAGCTGCCATGTGGGTGCTGGGATTTGAATCCAGGTCTTCTGCAAGAACAACCAGTGTTCTTAACTGCTGAGCCATCTCTCCAGCTCCCCATTTATCCCTTTTAATGTGTTTTTGTTTGGTTGGCTGGCTTTCTGAGACAGTGTCTCACTATGTAGCCCTGGTTGGCCCAGAACTCACTATGTAGACCAGCCTGGCTTCAAACTCACAGAGATCTGCCTGTCTCCCCCTCCTCAACCCCCAGACTACAAGTGTGCACAATCACATTCTATTACTATCATTTGACACAGGGTATCATGTAGTCCAGGTTGGCTCTCAGGTCACACTGTAGCAGCCAAGGATGACTTTGAACTCCTGATCCCCCTGCCTCCACATGCCCAGTCCTGGAATTACAGGTAGGTACTACCATGCCTGGCTTTCTGCTTGTTTCTGACAAGGTCTGACTATGTACACCTGACTAGCTTGGAACTCACTATGTATACTATGTTGCCTTGCTGTGATCCTTCTGCCTCAGCCTCCAGAGTGCTGGGAATACAGCCATGAGTGGTTTCCTGTTGTTTACCCACTGTTGCCAGATTCCACCCTCTATCATATCACTAAGACTTAACCTCCTTCAAGGCTAAATCCCCAGCACATAGTAGGCATGGTCTGTGTTTAATGAAAGACATGCTAAAATGCTACTATTCAAAGGAATAACATAACTCCCTCTGACAGAGCTGGTTCATCAGTTAAGAGCACTGGCTGCTCTTGCAGGAGACATGGGTTTAGACCCCAGCACCCACATGGCAGTTAACAACCATCTGTAATTCAGGGTCCAGAGATTCTGACGCCCTCTTCTGGCCTCTGCAAGCATTGCAGGCATGGGTGCACCTACACACATGCAGGCAAAACAATCATATAAAAGAAAAAAAGAAACCCCCTCTGAGCCAAGAGAGGTGGCACATGCCTGTCATGCCAGCACTTGGGAAGATTTACAGGTTTAAGGTCATCCCCTGTTACATCGTAAGCCCAAGGCCAACCTGGGCCTTCTTCTGATGGCTTTAGAAAGAAGAGCAGATTGTGAGGGATGAAGGCAAAAGCAGGAAAGCAGAGAGGAAGCAGCTGAGTCAGGCGTGGTGGCACACACCTTTGGTCCCAGCACTCGGGAGGCAGAGGCAGGCAGATCTCTGTGAGTTCAAGGTCAGCCTGTTCTACAAAGTCAGTTCCAGGTCAGCCAAGGCCTCACAGTGAGACTCCAAACAAACAAACAAACAAACAAACAAAGAAGCAAGAAAGGAAGGAGCTACCTGGACTAGGGAGTGGCAATGGGGACATTGTTAGATGGTAGCATGGAGGAGGAAAGAAGTGATCAGAACCGGGAGAAATTTAGCGGAATGAGGGTCAGAACAAGGCAGTTAAAGGCAACAGGTGGAAAGATGTCCATGGCCTCTGGCTTTGATAGGGTGGAGGGAGGACGGATATGGACAAAGAGCTTACATTTGTGTCTGAGATTCCTGGTGTACATCAAGGGTGGGGTCCAAATGCCAATAAGGGCTGGTGGGATGGCTCAGTGGTTAAGAGCACATACACATACTGCTCTGTAGAGGACTCACATTGAGAAGCTCACAATCATGTATACCTCCAGGTCCAATAGATCCCATGCCCTCTTCTAGCCTCCACGGGCACCTGCACACACAGCATATACCAACACACATATACATAAAAATAAAATAAAAACTTCAGTAATAGGCCAGGTGTGGTGGCTGCACACCTTTAATTCCTGCACTTGGGAGGCAGAGACAGGCAGATCTCTGTGAGTTTGAGGCCAAAGGCCAGCATGGTGTACATAGCAAGTTCCAGGCCAGCCTGTTCTACACAGTGAGTTCCAGGCCAGCTGGGGCTTACGGGAAACCCTGTTTAAAAAGAAAAAAAAAAGACATTACTTCTGCTGTAGGGTGAAGCCTTGCATCCTAGATACTTGCCCTTATTTAGAGATGGGGAGGGGTCTGTATTGCAAGGCTTTGCTCTTCCACAGTGATCACAGGATTAGGATAGCGACTAATCTCTGTGCCTTCAGCCACAAAGGAATCAGATTGGCAAGGTAAAGGAGTCTCCTTGAGTGATTAACATGCCTTTTTGCAGTTAAGGAGCCTGACCCAAAGCAAAGGAGACAGACACAGAATGAATGAAAGCCGAGATGACAGGCTTTCACCCTGTGTTTGTTACTGTGTGGCCCTAAATCAAGGATTCTTAGCAAAAGAAGCTGTTTTGTCTTTTGTTTTGAGTCTCATGTAACTCAGTCTCAAATTCCCTATTTAGCAGATGACCCTAACTCCTGACTCTCCTGCCTCTACCTCTCCAATGTGGGGATTATAGGCATGCACCACCACACCCAGTTTAGGTGGTGCTGGGGTCAAATCTAGGGGTTTGTGCATGCTGGCAACTGCTCTATCAATTGAGTGACATCCTCAGCCCAACAGCAGCTTCTAAACACCTGTTATAGTGCCAGTAAGGATTATATTTGATTTCTCCCATTTTGGTACTAGGAATTATACCCAAGCCTTTGCATTCTATCATCTAATAGCCACCCCCCATCTCTAACCATCTCTTAAACAGACTTCATGGCACAAAGTGGACTGTTAATTCTGTATGTGTTTACAGAAATGATCCACACAATCCTCAGGATACTATGAGCAGAAGGGTAACTCATAAGTTACCAGTGTACATGAAGAGCAGAAGTTCAAAGCCATCCTTGGTCTGAGGCCATCCTTGTCTCAAAAACCAAGACACAACATAAAACCAAGACAACAACAAAAAAAATGAGTAGTGGGGGCTGGAGAGATTGCTCAACAGTTAAGAACACTGATTTTCTTGCAGAACACCGGGGTTCAAATCCCAGCACCCACATGGCAGCTTGTTACTGTCCATAACTCCAGTCCCAGGGGATCCAATAGCCTCTTCTGACCTCCGCTGGCATTGCACGACACGACACAGGTGTACTTACCTACACGCAAGCAATACACGAATACACATAAAATTTTAAAAAAAGAAAAAGAAAAGAAATAAAAAGTTTAAAGAGTAATGAGTCGGGCGTGGTGGCGCACGCCTTTAATCCCAGCACTCGGGAGGCAGAGGCAGGCAGATCTCTGAGTTCAAGGCCAGCCTGGTCTACATAGTGAGTTCTAGGACAGCTGGCGCTACAGGGACACCTTGTTTCAAAAAGACCAAAAAAAAAAGTTTCTGTCAGAGAAAGTTTGAAAATCAATTGATTAAAATAAGCAAACTAAGCTGGGCATGATGACATATGCCTTTAATCCCAGCACTTGGGAGGCAGAGGTAGGCAGAACTCTGTGAGATAGAGGCCAGCCTGGTCTATATAGTCAGTTCCAGGACAGCTGGGGGGAAAAAGAAGACAAAAATCAGCAATGTAGTATTTGTGGTATGGTATTTAAGGTGTACAGTGAAATCACCTCAAACCTGATCACCAACTCAACATTTTTATACAGGTGAACGATGTGAAAAGAATAAGGATAGAGATGTTACGAAGAGAATGAGGGATGCCTCAAAAGGCTGATAAGGGTGTTGGCGGCAAGAGGGAGCTATATGCATTACTAAATGTCCAGTCCTAGAAGTAGATGCCTATGGAACAAAGTCACAAGTTGGCTTCCTTTGAAGAAGCGCTAAAAGGTAATGCATTTGTAATATTTAAGAGATGTCTATGATGTTTTCTGCCTTTTTAATATAGGACATAATATAGGACTATCAAATCTTCAGGATGGTGATGTTCTAGTAGAAAGAACAATACATGGGCAGTAGAGAAAAAAGAAAAGAGTAATGACGAAAAGCAGAAAAAAAAAAAGACAATCAGCTCGTGGGAAGTGAAACTAATTAGACAGGGGACCCCATTTGTCTGTGGGACACTGACATGAGCTCTAGGTTTAAATAGTAAAAAAAACTGGGGAACCGCAACCCAGAAAATACACCCCGCCAACCCAGGCACATACACCCGGAAATAAGCATTTATGGGCTGGCGGTAGGAAGCCAGAGCAAGCGCGCTGACCTATGACGTCATCGGGACGTTAGGGAGCGTAAAGTCACCTGGAGGTAGCTCAATTTCCCTTCCCAGACAGGTCCACTGGAAATAGGAAAGGGTCCGAATCTGGTCTCTCATTGGTCAGGCTTTCTGTCAATCCGCTTCATTCTTTCAGTCTTCCGCCCCGCCTTCCCCTGTCTACTTCTGATAGGCTACAGAGGCTGTCACTTCGGAAAGGTCCGCATTCCTTCCGCCTTTCTCCGGGAGACCGAGGGCGAGGAGGGTGGATCCCAGGAGGCTCCCACCCCCCCGGGATCAGCTTCTTATTCTGATTGGCTACACTGAGTGCCTGTCATTGCTGCTTCCACCGGTGATTGGTAGTCAGGGCGCCGCTCTGCGAGGCGCCGGTTCCGCCCCCGTCGGGTGTTTGTGGTGGGGCTGCGGAGTCGCCGATCCCGCCGGAAGCGCCAGGACAATGGGGACCCGGGACGACGAGTACGACTACCTATTCAAAGGTGCGCCTGGTGGGGTAGAGATGGGCGAAGGCTCGGCAATGACCGGCAGGCCGAGGCCGCGCTCCGCGACGGTGAGCCCCAAGGTGGAGCCCGGGGCTTGACTGTGGCCTGGCCAGGGTAGGGAGCCGGAGAAAGCCGAGGCAAGCCGAGCTCAGCTTCTGGTCCGAGTACGCCGCAGTGCCAAGAGGGAGGCCCAAAGAGGCCTGGGGACCCCGGATGCGCCGGGGCGGGACTGGGGCCTAGAGGGGGTGGGGCCCAGAGTGGTGGGCGAGGCCGTTAGGGGCGGGGCCTCCTGGGGGCGGGGCTTCCCTCAGTTTTGCGGGCCGACTTCTTTGAAAGCGGGATGCAGAACAGGGTCGGGTTGAGACAGTTGTGGGCGTGTCCGGTAGGCCTGGCTAGGAGGGAGGGGAGGAGAGAGGCGGGTAATCACTGTCCAGGCCTGATTGGTGCCATCCTTCAGGGGGCGGGCCTGGTAGGGGTGGGGCCGGCCATGGGGTGGAGCCTGGGTGATGTGATGGAGTTGGTGGACTGGTTCCTGGGTGTGTGGCACTAATTCTTATTCCTAAAACTTTGGATAAGGGGCTAGGCATCGTGGCCCACACCTTTAATCCCAGCATTCCGGAGACAGGCAGAAGGTCTCTGTAAGAGCGAAGTTAGCCTGTTGTTACACACCAAGCTCCAGGCTACAGGGAGATCCTGTCTCAAAAAAACCCGAAACAAACAAAACCTTTGGGTAAGGGATGGAGATGTAGCTCAGTTGGTAGAGTGCTTGCCTGCATTCACAAAGCCCAGGGTTTCATTCCCAGTGTACGTACTTGTAATTCCAGCACTTAGAGGTGAAGGCAGGAAGAGCAAAATTGCGAAGGCCAACCTCACAACTTGGGACCTCTTCAAAAACAAACAAGGCCAGGAGTGGTGGTGCACACCTTTGATCCCAGCGCTCAGGAGGCAGAGGCAGGTGGATCTCTGTGAGTTCCAGGCCAGCTGGGGCTACAGGGAGACCCTGTCTCAAAAAAACCAAAATAGACAGATGATAGATGACAGATAGATAGATAGATAGATAGACAGACCAGACCAGACAGACAAGACAGATAGATAGATGATGATAGACAGACAGACAGACAGATCTGCAAAAAAAAAAAAAAACCCAGCAAACAATCTTTCAATAGCATTGACCTAGTACCTGCTCATTTCTGAACACTTTGCAATCATGATCTCATTTAAATCCTCACTGTGAGCCTATGAGGTCCATATTCTCCAGCTTCTCCTAAGAAACCAGCCTAGACTCCCAGGACTCAGAGGGAGAAGCAAGAGAATCTTTAGTTTAGAGCCAACCTGGGGCTGGTAAGGTCACTCATGGGTAAAGATGCTTGCTGTCGGGCCTGGAGAGATGGCTCAGCTGGTTGTTCTTGCAGAAGACCTGGGTTCAAATCCCAGCACCCACATGGCAGCTAACAACTGTCCATAACTCCAGTCCCAGGGGATCCAGCAGCCTCTTCTGACCTCCGTGGGCATTGCATGACACGGGTGCACTTACCTACATGCAGGTAATACATGCATACACATAAAAATAATAAATAATTTTTTTTAACGTTTAGGGGTTGAGGATTTAGCTTAGGGTAGAGCTCTTGCCTAGCAAGTGCAAGGCCCTGGGTTCAGTCCTCAGCTCTGAAAAAAAAAAAAGAAAAAGACAAAGTAACAAAAAAGTTTAATAAAAATGATGCTTGCTGTCAAGCCTGACAACCTGAGTGTGATAGCATACTTGGGAGGCAGGGCAGGTGGATCTCTGTGAGATCAAGGCCAGCCAGGTCTACATAGCAAGTTCTAGGCCAGTCAGGATTACATAGTGAGACCCTATCTCTAAACAACAACAACAAACAAAAACAACGAATCTGGCTTACTTAGCCCTATCCTGTCCTTAAAACAAAAGGGAAACAGGGTCTCAGGGACACAAATTCATAGGTGTTAGAGCAGGATTGAGCCCAGGACAGCTATAGGCTTTGCCACATAGGGAGTAAGTCTTAGGGCAGGGCTTGCAGCTTGGATATAGGGCAAGAGGATGTCAGACCTCCTTTCAACACATGCTCAGTGATGGCCCTGGCCCCAGCCAACCTACAGGAATGTCATTTCTACATGAAGAATTCAAGAGCTCTAGGAATGTCATGTGATATACTGTAGGTCCATCAGGCAGCTATTGCCTAGTGAGCTTAACTCCATGTCACTAGGGTCCCTCATTCTTAGTTGGGCATATTTAGCGATCACTGACATCTTTGATACCTTTTATTCCTAGCTGGGCTTTTTGGGCCCCCTCCATCCATGTTATAGTCCTTGACTGACAGTAGCTGCTTGCCTACCTGCCTGCCTACCTACCTGCCTGCTTCCCTCCCTCCTTCTTCCCCTTTCTTTAGAGATGGGCAGGGTCTCCCTGTAGCCCCAGATGACCTGGAGCTAGCTATGTAGCTCAGGCTGGGCTCAATTTCACAGAGATCCACCTGCCTCTGCCTCCCAAGTGCTGAGGTTATAGGTATGTGCCACCACGCCTGGCAGTGCTTATTTCTGGGCCCTCAGGGAGCATCTTTGTCCTGCTGTAAAAAGTCTGCATCTTCTTTCTTTTCAAAATTTTATTTACTTTTTTTATGTATTTTAGTGTTTTGCTTTCTAAGTGTACATGAGTGTGCAATGCTCACAGAAGCCAGAAGAGGGGGTCAGATCCCCTGGAATTGGAGTTAAGAATAATTGTTAGCCACTGTGTGAGTGCTGGGAACTGAACCTAGGTCCTCTGGAAGAGCAGCCAATGCCCTTAACTGCTGAGCAATCTCCCCAGCCCCTCTTCCTTTTTGGAGGCGCCCAACCACACCTGGGAGTATGTCCTGGTGCCCAAAGCCAGCCTTGGCATCTTGGGGCTGTGGAGAATAAAACAGCGGTGAGGCTAGGATATACATGTGGTAAAAAGCTTCTAGGCAGAGAGAGAGAGAGAATCTGCCTGCAAAAATGCAGAGTTACCATGTAGCACCACTAGAGCACTACACCCAGGTTCTGACACTGTGATTGGCGGGTGTTAGGTCCAAGATATCACCCCAAAGGCAAGGGGAAGATTTGGAAGGATTTGGGAGATTGGGAGATCCAAAGGGCCCTCTGGTGACAGGTAGAAAAGTAGTTCTTGCTGTGACAGGGGCCTGTCCTCATTCAGCCCACCCTGAGGGAGCTACCAGGCAGGACAGGGGGCCTTTTCCCTCTAAGTTACCACATCCAGGCATCTGTGGTCATTCCCAGCTTGTTATTTTCAACCTCTTGCTGTTATAAATAGCCCAGCATTGAATGTCTGCCTGAGTCCTCTCTTTGCCCTTTGGGCTGTTTCCTTGATGTTCATTCCCAGAAGTACAGTTACTGGGTCAGGGGCAATGGGCTGTTTCTGTTCCTGGGATTTGTCTCCAGAGCTCACTTCCTGGAAGCACCAATCAGGCCCCTGCAGCAGCTGGTGTGGGCAAGTGCCTGCCTGCCCCTCTGCCCTCCCCCACTGGCCTCCTTTCCCTGGTACCATCTCCAACCAGTTGTAGCAGCTATCGAACCACCAAGGTCAGCGTTGCCCCAGAGTGCTTATCCCAAGTCTCCCGTCCACTCCTCACACTTCCTCCAAGGACCCCCTCCATTCTACACCATCTGTCCTTTCTCCAGTGTCCAGCTATTCGCTCTATTAAATTGGACAAAGGAGCTCTGGGAAATTAGAAAAGGGGAGTGTGTTGGAGAGCTGCCTCAGCAGTAAGAGTACTAGGGTCTCTTGCAGAGGACCCAGGTTCAGTTCCCAGCACTTACATGGCAGTTAACAACCATCTGCAACTCCAGTTCCAGAGAAACTGTATTAAGAAAAACAAGAAACTCACAGTTGCACTAGAAATGTTGACAAGGACTGACTTTGTCATCACATGGCTCTCTCGTTCTGCCACCTGTGGGAAAATGGAAGGACTGCAGTCTGGAGGCCCCCCCACCCCACCTTTGTACCACCCTGTGCCCAGCCAGCCTCACCTATCCCCACACCTTTTAGGCGTTGATCATTTTTCGCTGGCATGGAGGGGCTACAGTCTTCTTGGGACGGTGGTTGCTCTCCTCTTCCCCAACCCTAGTTTTTGGCAGCCACAGCACATATTGGCTGCCTTGACCTCAAGACCAAGGCCAACAGGTCCCCAGAATCTGTGGCCATGTGTCATTTGTTTTCCTTTCCAGGAGTGAGGTTGTTTATTTGTACCTAATTATAACTCCTCACGTTTGTCCTCCAAACATTTTTTTCCTGTCAGCTATTGGCCATTTTGCCAACCCCACTGGTGGATCCCCAGGGATACCCCTGATTTCTCCTCTGAGGCACACTGAATTAGGAGGTCCATACTGGAACCCTCTCCCCCACACTGCATAACCACTCAGTCAGCCTGAGCAGCAGGATCTGGGGTCCGGGGCTGCCACCCTGTCATGGGACAGGCCAGAGCATCCAAGGCTCCTGATAGATGCCAATTCTTTGTTTTTGCCAACTGGGCTTGCCTGCTCTGCATGCCAAATGGCACATCTGAGGGGGACCATTTCCCAGCCATTGAAACCACCGACTTCTTTAGAAATGCTGGGGGCTGTGTCCTCAAGAGCTCATTATTTCCCGAAGACAACTGATCATTTGTTTTCTTGACAATGCCATTTTCACACCCGCCCTGCATACAGGGCCAGCCTGGCCACCACCCTGCTGTATCAGGCACACTGTGCCAGGGATGGCCTGAGCAACCCAGCTTTCCTGCTCTTCACGTGGCCGTAGTATGTTGATCCTCAACCTGATCTGGGTATCTTGTTCTCTGTGGGTAACCTTGGCTGGGGATTTGGTCACTCTGTTGAATGTTCCTAACTGCAGTGGGAATAATGATGTTTGTGTCTGTCCCTGAGGTGGCCCTGAGAATTTGCTAAGCGTTTGGCCACAAGCCTGGTCCACAGTGCTGAGGAGACTTGGCCAGTCTAGAACACAGTGC